TCCAACATGTCTGCCTGTTCTCCCTCCTGCTGCTCGTCCTCCGTGGAAACATCAAGTTTGTAAGTTCAGCAGTTTCACTCTGGTTTTATGAGTGTGTAGATCAGATGTGTTGGTGTGTTAGTTAGTGTGTTAGTTAGTGTGTTACTTAGTTACTGTGTTAGTTAGTGTGTTAGTTAGTGTAGTCCAGTCCTGGTTTTTACCTGCAGCAGTGAAACTGGTCAGTTTGCTTTTGACTTGTTTTAGCTTCATGTTTGTAACGACTGTTCCATGATAAACTTATATATAATATCATATATATAAGATATTAAATTATAGCCTATTACATGATATTATGTTACATTATATAAAGTTATGCCACGTCAGGTTACGTTACATTATATTACATAATATTACGTCACGTTACGTTATATTCCATAACGTTAGGTCACCTTATGTTACATTATATTTCATCACATCACGTTACGTTACGTTACGTTATATTACATAACATTATATCACGTTCTGTTCGTTATGTAATATCACACAACGTCACATCATGTTACGCTATATATTACATAACATTATGTCGAATTACATTGTGTGACATTACAGTACATTACTTATGTTACGTTATATTATAATGTGACGTAATGTAATAATTTATTACATTTCATTGTTATATTATGTAACGTTATGCGTTATGTTATTTTATATTACATGATATTGCATTACATTACATAATATATTATGTTACATTACATTATTATATTACATTATGTTTTATTCTATTAGTTAAAGTGTATTTCCAAAACAACCAGAGATGACAAAATGCTTTAGGAGGAAGAATAAACACACACACACACACACACACACACACACACGCACACACACACACACACACGCACACACTGCTCTCTTACGTGTATTTCATAAACCTGCACACACACATGTAAATACATCCACTCAAATGTTATAGGCTTATTAAAAAACCCTTTTGACGAAAATATTTCCAAAGAGATTTACTGACTGAAGTACAGAGGCTGAGCTCCAGTTTACTCAGATGAGCCCATGATGAATGAATGAATGAATGAATGAATGAATGAATGAATGAATGAATGAATGAATGAATGACTGTTAGATGAAGCAGATGTTAAAGTGTGAGAACTCTTCTTCTCTCAGAGAGAAGCTGCTCATTTGAATAAAATCCTGCTTTGAAGTCAATTCATGGTTAATTAGTTTAAGCAGATTCCACTGTGAGCTACACACACACACACACACACACACACACACACACACATACACTGCTCTCTTACAATATGAGCTTTAATTCAACCCAATGGGAGTTAATTCTGTGCTAAAGAGCCACAGTTATCCTCTCCTCTGTGTTCAGACATGTTGATAATCTCACTGGTTAATGTGTGAAATCATCTGAGTGTGTGTGTGTGTGTGTGTGTGTGTGTGTGTGTGTGTGTTTGGAGGACAAAGCTGTTTCACCCCTGCAGCAGAAACACTCAGACATTTTCTAATGTTTGGTTCATTAATGATCTCTAACGAGGGGACGGTCTGCTCCGTATACTCTCAGTAATTACCATAGTCAGTCTCACTGTAACCACCAAACGTTTCAGTGACTCATTAACTCGTTACTTATTCAAATGTAGTCACACAATTACAATTACTGACATTTAAACAGCTCGTTACTCGTTACCTTTGTCTGTCTTTGGCTGTCTATCAGGAGTAATTCCTCTGTCTCTATAAAGCTCATCACAACAGAACCAGAACCAGGACCACTGACCAAGGAGCCCAGGCTCTAGTTTAACCCCAAGAATCCGTCTTGTGTTGTCCCTCACACAGTCACAGGCTCAGCAACAATAAAACACTGAACACTAATAAATTCACATTGAAACTCAACAGTTACTTTCACTGGGAACTAATTACTTTTTTATACAGTAAAGTTGGTGAAGTAACTCTTTTCAAAGAAGTAACTAGTAACTGTAACAATTACTACACTGTGCAGTATTGACAAGTTATAGTTTATAGTTAGTTACATGGTTGATGTTTATATGCATATTTTATTTATTATATATTTTAATGATTTTATTTATTTTAATATATGCTGCCAACATGCTGTGTGTGTGTGTGTGTGTGTGTGTGTGCGCGCGTGCGTGTGCGTGTGCGTGTTTTTTCAGACGGCGCTTCACTGGGCTGCCAAGCAGGGCCGTCAGGAGGCGGTGGACATGATGCTTCGCTTCGGCGCCGACGTCAACATCAGATCGGTGAGTGGGGAGTGTGAGTGTGTGTGTGTGTGTGAGTGTGAGTGTGTGTGTGTGTGTGTGTGTGTGTGTCATGCACTTTAATATCTTCAGCTGGACCTTCGCTGCATAAACAAACACAACAACATCACCAGCTGTCTTCAGCTCTTCACCTTCACTCAGCTCTTAAAGGAACAGTAACACATTTTTAACCCTCACACTGGTTCACAGGCCTGACACCAAAAACTACATTACCCATGAGCCTCAGCTGCTGTTACTGATGATCACAGAACACACTTTACCTGCAACAAGCTCATCTGACATGTTTTTATCATATTACATATTAAATAAACACAGCTACTGTACATACATGCTACACATGCTACATATGCTACATACATGCTACACACATGCTACACACATGCTACACATGCTACATATGCTACATACATACTACATACATGCTACATACATGCTACATACATGCTACACATGCTACATACATACTACATACATGCTACATACATGCTACACACATGCTACACACATGCTACACATGCTACATACATACTACATACATACTACATACATGCTACATACATGCTACACATGCTACACACATACTACATACATGCTACATACATGCTACACATACTACATACATACTACATACATGCTACATACATGCTACACACATGCTACACACATGCTACACTGCTACATACATGCTACATACATGCTACACATGCTACACACATGCTACATACATGCTACACACTTTTTAAGCGGCAGCTTTACTTCTCTCCACACTTCTTCTGCTTCACAACAACACTTCCTGTTCCTCTGAGTCACATGTTGCTAAACTAACCAATCAGAGAAGAGGAAGACTGACTAAACTAGAGAGATTGATTCAGGAGGTTGCACATGTATGTTTTAAATTCATTTTAAACTTGTAAATATGTAAATAATAATTGTATAAACATAAATATGTAAATAATTAACTTGTTTTTTGATACTTCATGTTGTAACTCAGAACAGTGCTCTTTATAGAAATGTGTCTGATATTTACATGAAACTATATTTATTCCCACAACAACATATTAACAACATATTACCCCTCACACACTGTTGATGCTTCTGCCTTCACAGTAAGAGCTCCCTCATGATAAGTGTCTGTAGTGAATCTATGTAGAAAGTATAAACAGCCTCTCTGACATTAACACATGGAGGATTCATCCTTCATTAAAGTGTCAGAGCAGGGAGAGAGTATTCTTTAGGTGTTCATCTGCTGCACAGTCTGTGGCAGCTCAGGTACCTTTATAATCTTCTAAGTTTAAAAGGATGTACACTGTCCTGTCATAATAAAACTACAACAACATCCCACTAGTACACACTCACACACACACACACTCCTCTGCAGCCTGTCGGGCTCTTTGATTATCCCATTATATGAGTCCTGCTCTCATTTAACCCTGAGGTTTTACAGTTGACTCCCTCGAGGTTTTTCTGTCCGATTCTTTCGGCCTCTCGTTCGCAGCGTTCCCCTCCACAGGCCAGAGGCTGCGACACAGCCGACACCCGGAGCTGTAGACAAACACTCACTCAGGCCTCTGAGCCTCCAGCACTCTGTTGCTTTAAATATCCCATCTCTTCTGAAAATGTCCTGTGGAGCTTCTCTTATGATTTTCCCTAAGAGGAAAAATAAAGGAGGAGTAAAACAAATGAAAACTCACAGACTCTGTGCTAAGACACAGTATTAAAGTCAAATTGTGTTTGTGTGGACGTAGCCTAAGATTTAAGGTGAATGAATAGATGAGCAGTGTATGGAGGGAGGAGTGACGTCAGTACTGTTCAATGTAATCAATGAAAAATCGGCCTCGATTCATCTGTGGTTTTGTGCCAAATAGAAGGTTTTTTATTTTTAGAAAAGTCGACAAAACACAATCGTGAACGTTGTGTGTTGCACTGAGTGATGTCATATGAAGAAAGTTTTCTCCTCTCGTGACGTCATTCCAATTCAACATGGCGACAGCATCCACTAATTGTTGGGATGATTACATCCACCACAAGGCAGGTTTATTTCTGCAGCTCCATTCAGACACAAAAGCTTCACAGAGGCTGGAAATACATTCAAATACAACACATTAAAGGAGCATTTAAAAACAATAAAAACTCATTTGAATAAATGAAAATATTAAAGTTGTAGTACTGAATTGAAGGTGATGAAGGC